ATATACACATATACATATATATATACACATATACATATATATATACATATATACACACACATATACATATATACACATACACATATACATATATACACATACATATACATATATACGTATCGTGATACGTATCGTATCGTGACTTTGCTGGTGATACACAGCCCTAATACAGTATATACATATACACACATATATACACACACACACACACACACACACACATATATATATATACACACACATACATATATTATACACACACATACACACATACACACACGCAAAGAAAAACAAGTAGATAGAATAGAAAAAATAGAAAGCTAGTGTTTGTTAGTTTTTTTGTTGTTGTTTTTTTTTAAAAACAAAAAAGAAGATAAATATAGATAAAGTAGAATTAAAATAGAATAGAAAGTGCTAGAGTTAGAGGGTCAAATAAAGGTGGATTTACAATCCAATGTGGTTAAAAATAATTTAGATAAAACCAGAGAAAAAAACGGGTCATTTATACCTATAAGCGCCAGTGGGTCAAATTTACCCACCTATATAATGCATGTATTTTCGCTAAGGATGCACCGATACCACTTTTTCCTGTACTTGCCCGATACCGATACTTTTATTTTGGGTACTTGCCGATACCGAGTACCAATACCAATATTTTCATTGCATCTGTACATTTTTTAAATGTTGGGTACAGAAACCAAAAGAGTATGTATAATGTTAGTTGGTTAACTTCATTTATCAAATAGATACAGTCAAACCAAAACTGATTCAGACACCTTCAACATTTCTCACATTATCCCAGTTTATTTGCTATTGATAGAAAATGGTAATAAAATATGACAAGAACTCAGAGTTAAACTGTGTCAGAACAAATTCAGTTTGATAATGTCAAATAACTTTGATAGAAAGGTATGTAATGGATTACAATAAACCAAAAATTAATCATACAGCTATGGTAGCCTACATCATTACATTACCTACTGTAATCACGCGCTTTGCTGTAAAAATGCAGGGAACCACTCACTATCTCCTAACTGTGATTTACATAAAAAGAATCAGAATGAGAGGACAGTAGTACAGCCTAGTGCATTTAACACAGGCTGTTAGTTTAACTTTCGCCAGAAAGTCGTGTATGCTTAAAAGTGAAAATAAATGACGTTTATAGTGAATGCCCCTATAAATTGTCTTATATTTACAATTTAGTTTTAATCCAAATGATGCGTGCTAAGTGAGCGAACATAAAAAAAGATCACACAACAGAAGTGTGTTGTGTGATCTTCCACTCTCTCTCTCTCTCTCTCTCCCTCCGATTTATGGAAGGTAGGTATTAGAAACACTAAATGCCATGCGTAATGGAGAGTTTGATGGTAAGTTATGCGTCCTGGATCGGCTCAGCATCTGACGGCTCATCTGACAGTGATCCAGATATCATATTTACATGTTTTAGCCTAACGTTACTCTAATTGGTCAAACTTTGGTTTAATTATTAAATTTTTTTCTTGCCATATCGTTTATTGTTCGCTACTGCGTTGCTATTCTAGTCTGGCCGTTTCCTGAAGAAAAATAAAAAAAAATCTGATCTAGTCTATATGATGTAATGAATAAAACCATTTTTTGATTACCCAAAGTTTAATGGTGTTGTTCTCTTATTCAAATTATAAATGATATAACTAAACAAATGAATAAATATTTAGGTGAAGCTGTGCACTTGAATTGGTCATCGCATCATCCTATGCAGTGTGGTGAATTATTATTGCTGTTTTATTGTCTATAGGCTATTTTAGTAATTTAAATAGCATGGGTTATCTTAATATATTGATTAATGACACTGTATTATAATATTACACCACCCAAATATTTAAGCTACTAACTTTTAATTTCCATTGTCAGTGCAGGCTTTTTTTAATTTATTTATTTTTAAATTTAAGCTTAGGCTACTGATCGTTATGGATTAGTGTAGCCTGCATTAAAAAGTCTTGAACATAAAACAACAGGATAAAAATATAGTTGATGACTAGACATAATCATTTCATGACTCTAGACACTTCTTTGTGAAGACAGTGGCATAATACAGTGAAATAATATGTTCTTTAGCCATATAAATACAGTTGTCATGTGCGTGGGTAAAATTTACCCGCTGGCGCTTTTAGGCATACAGTGACCTCTGGCGGTTCTAGTGTTAAATCCAGCTTCTTACCATTTCCATTTTCCAGTAAAGTAGTCCCAGTCTCTCTCAGTTTCTGTAACAGCATATCCTGCAGACTTAACAAGTGTTTTTGCGACAGGACAAGCCTCCTCCAATAAACCCGCACCCCAGGTTGTGATTGGTCTTCGCTGGACTGCATAAGTGGTGAACAAGGCTGAAGACACAGCTCCAAGGAAACCTGTTGGATGAGGATGGGTCATTCTTCCAGTCTCCACAGCAACCTCAACCAGTAAGGACAGCTGATCAGGACGAGGATATCTTTGAAGCAAAGACAATTAGATATCCACAACATTACTACCACATATCTGTGAAAATACAAAAGAAAACATGTTTCACCCTCACCTAAGGCCAATGCACATGGACCTCATAGCTGCCCCACAACCTGTGGCTTCTGGGTTGTATGGCACCCTGTAACCCCCTTCAGTGCGTGGATGCAACTGTGCAATACCTTAAGGGATAGAAGTAAAAACGGGTTATAAAAAACAAGTTGAAAGTTTCCTGTTAGCATTCTCATTTATCTTAATGGCAGCTTAGCCATTGTGTTCTGTTATAGTGTTCTGCATTAAATGACAAATTCCACTTTATCCCATTTCCTGCTCCTGAAGGACCACTGTCCTGCAGAGTTTAGCTTCAACCCCAATAAACACACTTGAACAAGCTAAGCAAGGTCTAAAGCTGACGATTTTCGACACCCCTGCAAAAGGGCTTGATTATTATAAATGTAGCCCTCTCACCAATATATTAGCTTAAATTGATAAATTCTGAATTAATGATAACCTTGTGAAAGCCACATTCCAAAATTACTTTAGTTTGTAAAATTCATTACCAAGTAATCAACCCCAATAAACACACTTGAACAAGCTAAGCAAGGTCTAAAGCTGACGATTTTCGACACCCCTGCAAAAGGGCTTGATTATTATAAATGTAGCCCTCTCACCAATATATTAGCTTAAATTGATAAATTCTGAATTAATGATAACCTTGTGAAAGCCACATTCCAAAATTACTTTAGTTTGTAAAATTCATTACCAAGTAATCAGTAAGTTACAAACTCTGGATCTCAGATTCCACTTTTTATGGAAGCCCGTTCTAGCTCCTTGTTGAGCAGGGGCTTAACAATCATTTCAGAAGTGAGGGGGAAAGAAACTTTATTTATTTATTTAGGCCTAATTGACAAGTTTAATTATTTTATTATCTCTTACCTTTAATTGACTAAGTCAATAACCAATTGGTTATAACACAATAACCAATAATATGTGTTCTTTAATATTGTTTTCCCCCTATACTTTCCTAATGACAATTTTATGAATGTTTTATGTACTACAAACACTTTTTCCATTTTTCCATTTTTTTTAAATCACAGAATAAGGCAGAAAATATGTATTAGTTTCTATGCTATAATTATATGTAAATTTTTTATTTATTTAGTCATTTATCAGACACTTTTATCCAAAGCGACTTACAAATGAGGACAACAGAAGCAATCAATTTAGTATTAAAACAACTAAAAACAGATCCAAAACTAAAAGCTAAAACTTTATAAATACTACCTATACACATTTTAAAAATAAAGAGATTAAATAAAAATGACAAATGCATACAACAAAATTTCAAAACTTGACATTTAAATGAAAAACAAAAAATAAAGCTAAAAACAATTAGTAAAGAACAAAAGGTATAAGAGTATAATAATGATTCTAACATAACACTAAGCCAAACACCAATAAAACAACTACATATGTATATGTACAACCACACATGCATACATACATACATATATATATATATATATATATATATATATATATATATATATACACACACATATATATAATACATATATATATATATATATATATATATATATATATATGTATACATACACATTTATAAATTCAATATATATATTATTTCATTTCCATTTAGCTTGTTGTAGTATTAAAATAACTAAAATTAAATAAATCTAAAAACTTAATAAAAGACCTATACAGACATAATAAATTCAGACTATTATTTAAAATTAAAATAACTAATACAAATAATACAAATCAAATGACTGTAGTTTATCAGTAATCCTAAAAAATATCACTGCCAAACCCACATGCTAAAAACAACAACTTACTTACACATAGTAAGAAATTGTTATAAAAACTGAAACAGAAGCGAAACAAGTAATAGGAAAGCGGAGAAATAAAAAGCGATACTTATTAAGATGTAGAAATTACAATTGGCACTGCATTATTCATATACTTTATTTACTACCTGGAGATGACTTGAAAATCACACATAAACCATATATTTTCAAAATTGTGTGTTTATTGTCTTAACGTTTCATCAGTCAAAACATTTCTGCTTTTTATTCAGCTTAGCTAGAGTGACAGCTACCTTTGTCCATATTAGGGATTTCCTTGCACGTTATAATTATTACTACTATGAGTCTGTGTTGGACTTTCTGTGTGAGATCCCCCTCTGGCTTTGAGTATAAATGAAACATAGACTGCATGAGAGTGTAGCGCTCCATAATTATCACATCGCCTCGTTTTGTGCATGCATAGAAGTAATAGAAAGTTTCTCATTTGATACAAGAAAGTAATTCACTATTACGAGAAAGTTTCTTATTACAAGAAAGTTTCTCATTACTAGGGTTGGGTACCGAAACCCGGTACCAATATGGCACCGGTACCCATGTAAACGGACGTAGAAGCATCATCACCAGCACCGCACATGAAAAATTATTTCCCCACTGAGAAAAGGAACGTGAACTCAAGTTGGAAAGCTCAATAATACAAATGCAACACATCTTTGTAGTAACGAGAGTGTCCATGTTGTTTTCACATTCCGACTTAAAAGCACAACTCTGGAAATGAGAGCATTCGAGGAGCTCGTGAATCCAGTAATTGCACTTGCTCTGATGGCAGCAGGTAGCCTTCCGTTAACTAAGCTGAACATGCTTAAAATAATAATTCAAAGGGTGTGTGCAGTCTTCTATAATTTTTTGTGCCATCCTCATCACTTGACATTGTGTTTACATGTTATGAAAGTATTTGCAAGAATGTACGAAAACTATAGTGTTTTGAGCAGCAGAGTGGATGTGCCACTAACTTAAAGGGGTCGTGAACTGCTTTTGTTTTTTTGTATTTTGTTATTTTATGTATTTTGGACTGTTCTCTTGTACTGTCCACTTATAATGTTATCAACATTTTTACAAAAACATAATAATTTAGAAGTAATAGGCTATTTTCTGTACTTTTCTGACCCCCTCATCGGAAAGCTGCATTTGAATAGGCGGGGCGGATTGTAGACTTAACACCCACTAGTATGAAATGCATAAATACTCAGTACATATCAGACAATCTGTAATAACAGACAGAGCAATAGTGACCACGGAATTAAATCAGTTACTCAAACTTGTGTGGTGCGATTTTACTGTCAGATCCAATATACTGTAGTCAGCACAGCATCGTCTTTTAGTTTCAATCTTTCTGAAAATCAAATTGTGCCTTGCTTGTAAATGAATCTGTGGTAAAATGAAGTGAACAAAGAACCAAGTTCTTACTGATGCGGTCTGGAACTTCATTAAAAATAAAGTTCATCCACTTGTTCTCCACAAGTTCTTTCCTAATGTTGGGATCAGAAGGAAGGCAATGCAAAGACTGTTCCCCTTCAGGAACTCGAGCTGCGTCGAAATGCTACGGGAATGCCTCCAGCGTGACCACACTCTGAATCACATGTGTAATCCGTCCAATGGATGGGCGAGACGTCACGGGCGGGGTGACGTAGCGACCAGGAAGCATAAAAGCACGTGCGTTGAAACCGGCATCAGCTTTCTGTCATTCAGCAAGCGCTCTGTGTGTGTCAGTCTTATTTGGTGTTGTGTGTCCATTATCACTCTTTATTTTACCAATACGAGTGTGGACAAACATACGGCGAAAATGCGCAGCATCTCAGGCTGTGTGTTCTTCCCTGCCTGTGCTACGTTTCGGGTGGGGATACACACAGTTGGTGTGTTGTCTGCTTGGGAGCAAAACATGCAGAGTCAGCTCTCGATTGCAAGCATTTGTCACTGCGTATGCTTTGCTTTCCGAGGGCTCTCTTTGAGGAGGGAGTCTTCAACTGCGTTTTTCGCGGCACCGGCCCCACTTTCGCCGAGGCGGAGCGGTGGCTGTGCTCGTGGGGTTCGCATATGGATCCGGTGGAGGGAATGTAGACTGGCGAGTCCCTATCTTCTTCCTCACCTACCAGATCCAGCGCCCGCTCTCGGGGTTCGGTTTTAGTCAGCTTTGACGTAACTCCTCTCAGCTAGCACGCCTTTTCAAAGTGAAAGTAGCCTTGTCACCTGACCTAAATATTGATTCGCTTAAATGGACTTATCGGCTTCTGTTCAAAAACAACATGGGCGCTTGTCGGCTTCTGCAGTAAAACGTGAACTCGCAATGCCTTGAAAGTGGACAAAACCAGCTTTTTTGACAAAACATGTTTAGGGTTCAGATTGAGCTATATGTGGAGAATAATGCACGGCAATCAGTCACTCTCGAGGGAGCTGACTGCCCGCATTGCGAGCGTTTTTCACTGCGAATGCTTTGCTCTCCGTGGGCTCTCTTTGAGGAGGGAGTCTTCAACTGCGTTTTTCGCGGCACCGGCCCTACTTTCGCCGAGGCGGAGCGGTGGCTGTGCTCGTGGGGTTCGCATATGGATCCGGTGGAGGGAATGTAGACTGGCGAGTCCCTATCTTCTTCCTCACCTACCAGATCCAGCGCCCGCTCTCGGGGTTCGGAAGCCCGTATTGCGGTTCTTTCCCCCCGGTGAGAGGGCTCGACGCTCCGCCTGTCTTCCTCCTAGGAGGTTGATGAGGGTGTCGATGAGCTCGCCAGTTACACAAGCATCAGTTAAACAAGCATATTATGCCTAATATTATAATGAGCTGCTTTACTGTGGAGCGGAGCTGTTTTACAGTCGCACAAGCATTATGTCTATATTATTATGAGCTGCATTTACTGGGGAGCGGAGCTCGCGCAGTCAGCTCTCGGAAATAAGGGTCTGATTGTGCTTCTCCCCACTGAATGCTCCGTTCCCGCCGGGCACGTTCCGAGGAGTGTGTCCATGCTTGCGAGCTTGCGGTTCGGTCCCACTATTCCTGAGGCACGGCGGCGATTCAGATCGCGGGGATCGCACGTGGATCTAGCGGATGGGTTGGAGACGGCTCGCCCTTTCTCCGCCTGCACTCCCTAGATCCAGCACTCTCTCTTGAGGCTCAGAAGCCCGTGCTGCGGTTTCTTCCCCCTCTGAGTGAGAGCTCGCTGCTGCAGCTATTTTTCTCTGAGGAGATTGATATTGTTTGTGTGACCAAGTGGCTTGCGCGCTGCCGAGGCAACGTATTACATCAATAATACGTTGCCGAGGCAATGTATTACATCAATTACATAATTTTCAGTTTTTTTCATATCATAA